TAACCGTGGTTTTAGTATTACCATACAGTAATCCTATCACATTTTAAGCCAAAGCATATTGGTTCAAATGGAAGAAAGTAAAAGCATAGAACAGGTGAATCTATTTTGTAGTAAAAGTATTTTGTTTTGTGATTTAAATTATTAAAGTTTAAAGTATTATTTGCAAATTACGAACTAAGATGGATCGTCCATTAAAGCAAAAACAAATTGTAAACCAATATTTTTCAAAACAATTAAAAAAATCAGGAAAACTTATAAGTGTATTTTTTATTTGCGCAATTTTACTTATAACTTATGACGAATGGTCATACACTTAATCACTTGTACAAAAACTACCATTCATTTTAAGAATTATGACTTGCCAATTATTAAAAATTTATTTAAACCTCAAAAAACTACGTCAGTTCAAACTAATGAAGCTGGAGATGAATATTTTATCGACAACACCTTTAATATTAGTAGAGAAACCGTACAAAAATTAAATCAATCACGTCAAAGTAAATCATTGGTTAGTTCGAATGGTAATTATTTTGAAATGCAGTTATTGGAATCTATATCATGCATACATTTAAAATCTACTAATTCATTAAAATCCACGAAAATTGATTATTTATTGATAGAGATATTGGTTAAGAAGAACAGGTAAATATTATTAAAAATATTTTGTTCAATATTATTAGTTATAATTATTTAGATATGAAAATTTAAATATTTTAATTTCCAAATTTCGAAATTAACAGTTTGAATAATTCTTTTTGCATTTTGATTTGATAAATTTACACATTTGTAGTATTTGAATGAAAATACCATTAATTTAAAACTATTGTTTAGTACTTACTAGAATACCTTAAATGCTGATTTATTGAATTCATATAATTATTTTTATTATTATGAAAACTAATTACATTAAAATTAAAATAAAAAATAAATCAATAATGCCAAGTTTGTAGTTATTAAAGCTCATATTTTCAATAATATATAATATATTTAGGTACATAAATGATATAGCTTTTATTATGGGCTTTTACTTTAACTGCAATTATTTTTATTCAAATTAAAATCTTAAATTACCTTACCAGCTTACATAAAGAAAATTTTCTTATACTTTTAGTTAATCTTTAATTGATTTTTTATAAATACTGTACAACATTAAAATGAGTATAATAGAAACATTTTTTAATATACTTGAAAAATATTAATCCTGGCTAATTCTATTAAATTTTGTCTCCAAATATTTGTTACAAAAGTTTAACTAATAATTTTATATTTAGAATGGTTTTCTAAATTGAAAAATCAATGTTTTCCAACTTAAAAAATGCTTTATTATTTCAGATGTGTTATGCACTGATGCATTTTAAATATTTTGATTTTAATTTTAGATGGATATTTGGAAACTTTTGGCGAGGGCTTATTATGCTACAAGAACACCTCTAAGTTTTACAGAAAATGAATATTTTCAAGAAGCATTTAATAGAATAAGACCATGCCTTCAATTACTATCACAATACCAGTTGTCTAATAATCTACTTAATGATAAACACAAACTAATATAAAAAAAAGTGCTTGATAAAATTTCATCTGTTACTTATATATCAATTCAATTAGATGGGTGGACAAATATTAGATAAAAATTTTATATTTATTTTGTAGTTAAATTATTTTTAACAATAATATTTTTTTGATAGTAGTACAATTTATTATAAAAATACAATAAGGTAATATAATTATAAATTATTTTTTGTGGTACTCTCTATTTATATCAGTTTATAGTTAAAATTTAATAATAAATAGGCAACATATCTATATATTACTAACTATTTGTGTTGATACTTTTTTCAATCAACTTTTTACACTTTTTTAAGTTTTGTTCAGTTTAATGTTAAGTATAAAAATTGGATTGGCCTGTTTTCTACTGAAAGCCCTTTTATTTAATTGAAATGTTTGCCTTTTTTTTTACAGATCTGAAACTATATTAAATATTTTTTAACTACACCTTAGCCAGTTGTATATGAGAATATTGAAACTAGAGTCAATAACCATACAGGGACTTACATGGCATCAATAATTGAAAGGATTGTGAATGAAGTTGGACCAGAAAAAGTAATTTATGTTGTTTCTGATAATGCTAAAAATATGGTAAAAGCTTGGGATGTATTTATGAGTAACAATTCTTCTTCACAAATTTCATTTTTTTGTTCTGCTAGTCACATTCTAAATCTTCTTTGTAGAGATATTGTTAATCTCCCTACATTTAAGGAAATACAAAATTCAACAAGAAGTGTAATTAAACATTTTAAATACTCTCACTAATCAATTCATTGCTAAAAAACTTCCAGAATGTTGGAATGAAGGATAAAGACTTGAAAAACACTCCTATATCTTTGAAATTACTAATAGCCACACATTGTGGATCAGAATCAATGAGTTTGGAAAGCTTATTAAAAAATTAACAATATCTAAAGCAGGTAACAATGTCAGACAAAGCCAAAATTGTATTAAGTAAAGAATCAACCAAAAGTATATTAGACCACACAATATTTTGGGTGCATGTTGAGACTGTCTACAGTCTTTTAAAGCCGCTGTCTATTTTAACTATTTTTTACTATTTTAAAAACTGAAAAATGTAATGTATCAACAGTTGTAATAGCATTTAATAATATTCAAAATGTTATTCAAGAACAANAGACTGGATTACTATTTTAAAAACTGAAAAATGTAATGTATCAACAGTTGTAATAGCATTTAATAATATTCAAAATGTTATTCAAGAACAAATTCAAAATTTCAACTGTAATAAAAATGAAAGAGTGTTTATTATTACAGAAATTAGAAAATAAAATACAAATGTTTCACAAAGATGATTTTTTAAAGAACAATGAAAGTATTGATGCTGTAGAATTTATATGTAACTTAGCAGAACATTTGCAACTCAATATTCCAGATATCATGTCTGAACTTGCTGAATATCGTTCAAATAGTGGGCTATGGTCTTAGGCATTTGTTTGGGATAGTATAAAGACTCGTAGCGATGGAATACAACTAGGATATTTATTCTTGAGTTAAAATTTCAATCATTGCAATTGCTATATTAGAATGCTCCCCCACATCTGAATCGACAGAATGCAGTTTTTCAACGTATGGTCTTGTTTATACAGCTCAAAGAAACAGATTAACAAATGATCGAGCATCTAAACTAATGTACATTAAACATAATTTAAAAATTGAAAAAGATTTGAAGGTTAAAAATATTAAAAATTTAAATGGTAACTGTGATGATCAACATTATAATAAATTCACTGATTTCAATTCTCATGATGAAAATATAGGAAGGTGGTTTAAGTATATGTGATTCCATTTCAGATAACGGGAATGAAACAGATGGACTATTTGATGATGTCATGGCATATACAAATTTAAATTATAAAATACTTATAAAAATTATAAATTTAATTTAAATAATTATAAAAATTAATTCTTAGGACTCTGTGATACTAAAATTTATAAGTGATAAGGTAGAAGGTATTTTTTTTATAGTAACAAATGTTAATACAATTATAGATTTTAAGATTACTATAAGTTGCTACAATTAATTTTTTAGTAGTTTATTTAAAGGATAGAATTTTTTTTTTGATAAAAAGTGAGTTTTATTTTATTCATTATGTTATTAAAAATTTTAAGTTTTTAATGTGGTACAATTCCAATTGTGTATTTATACTTATTTAAAAGGGCAGAGTTCTCAGAACTTTAATATCATGGGTGGTTTCTGGTTACAAATTGGCTATAGTTGGTACTTAGTTAATACTAAATCATCCTCTATATAGGAATTCAGGATAGAGAAATATCTTAGTTCAGTATTTTAACTAATTACTCTCTGAACATTTTGTTTGTATCAATTTTGCTAAAGGCTTTTTCAGTAAGTACTCATTTATTTAATGAGTTTTATGAAAAATAATCTCTTTTAAGTTTATTTTTTCTCTAATTTTAAGGTTCCACAAGGTTTTATACAGTATTATACGTGTATTATACAACAAAAAATAAAATACCGTATTTTAACAACTCTAATTATGGGAAAAAATTTCGAAAGTGTTTATTCTTGTTATTAATAAATATATGTTATATATGTTCAAGTTTTATCAAATTACAATTTCTTAAGCACAGTTTACAGTTATCTTAATAAATGTGTATATAACTATACACGAACCTGTTAAATAACTACTTTGTATGTGTTGCATATACTTTATCAATATAATGATTAATTTCAATTGAAGTTATTTTTTAATAAATGCTTGTTATTAGTAATTAACGTATTAAGTTAATTAGTGGTATTAAACTACCTTATTTAGACAAATATTTGATCTTTTTAATGTACTAATCTTTATAGTAAAAATACGTTTCAATATTTAAAAATTATTTACTACTTAAAAAGAATATATGTGATACACAATTTAACTAATTTAAAATCACGTTATAAATTATATAAAATACTTTGCAAGTTATAGACATCGTAAAAATTCGTTGTGCATAACTAACTTCAAATAGTATTAACAATACCTTCGAATATTCTAAGGTATTGTAATACCTTATAATATAATATATAGAATCTATAATATTTGTACTTAAGTGTTAAACATAATTAACGAAATAATCTCCCTTTATATCCTATTTTACTATTCTTGTCTAAAGTATTATTTTTCTTATCATTTCATATAACAATAATTTTGATAGGTTGATTGAATAATGTTCATGGTATAAATAATTTTTTTTATGAGACTGAAATTTAATTTTAAATTTAAATAAACTGAATTCATTATAATTTTGAACTTCTATTTTTTTTAGAACACAAATTTTGAATTCATTAGTGATATGGCATAAAATTAATTTTTTTAAATGACTGATAGACACGAAATATAAAAATATGTCATAATATCGAAAAAATATTAAAAAATATGTGTTTTTAATGTTATATAAACACTATTTTTATAATCTATTTAGAACTAAATATTTGTACAAAACAAACATGACCTTTGAACTGAGTTGAGTATTAATTATTATGAGATGATCAATATTTATTTCATCGACCTTAATGATTACTATATTTATCTATTTAATCTATCGATTTATTGTTCTAAAGATTTGATTAGAACATTTTCTCTCAGGCCAGTGGTAACCAGTATGCACGTTCTAGTTGGAGGTATATCATCATTTTTTTTTTTTGTGAATTACACTTAGTTGTAGTGATGGTCGAAGAGGTTTAATAACCTTTAATTTTGAATAAAAGTCAAGTAAGTAAAAATATAAAGCTATTGAACTTGTAGATACTCTATAACTTCCTTTAATATTTAAGTACAAAAAGTTTTTACTTAAAATTAGCTAAAATTAAATTAAAGTTAGCTAAAAGTTATCCTTTATATGAATGGAGTATTTATTAATGTTATACTAAAATATTATAAAATAAATTAATAACATTATTAGTTCATATTAATTAATTTTGTTGAACTGCAGTGGTGCCGTATCTATTTTCTACAAAATTTAATAACTGACACTAGGTCCCCTTGATTGTTATTAAGCTAAAAACGGTTTAAGCTATTTTTTGGTGGATCATATAAAAAAATTCGGTAATTTATAAATTTTACTCTTAATAATACATATTATTAGTTTCGATCCGAAGCTGAGAACATATTAATTTTACCATGATGTGTTCATTTATTTATTCATAAATTATATCTAGTAGAAGACATTACCCTAAAAAATTGGAAAATTTTCTCTCGTTCCCCGTAAATGGTGAAAATCCTCTAAAAATTACAATTTTTAAAATCGGTAAATTTCGACATTATTTTTACTTTTTTTTTTAAATTGTCATAACTTATTGGAAAATGAACAAGTCAAAATAACTTTTTTTTTATATTGAAACCTTATGCATTTACCTTGTATTTGATAGAATATTTTTGAAAATATCATCCTGTACCTTTCTACATTAGGGGTTTCAAAATAGCAATTTTTTAATTAAATTCAACTTTTGAAAATATTCCGGGAATACTGCGTCTTTTAAACATAAATGAAATTAAAGCCTATTATACGTACCATAAATTAAAAAAAAAATTGTTTCAACGACTTATCTTCTACACGCAAACGGCTGCGGTAGTTAAAAAAATACTATTTTTGTGTTAAAATGTTCGATTTTAAATTTTCAACTTTAAATTGCAACTTTAACTATTCGAATAATGTATAGATCAACACAATTTTTTTTTTCTAAATACATTATAAATACTCCTTTCATTCAACATACTATTTTTTTAAATCGGGCAATTTCCCCTTATACAGGGTGGCGTTCTTAAAACATACCTATAAAAAGTAGAATTTTCTTAACTAAATTTTTGCAAATGTTCCAGAAATACTGCGTCCTTTAAATATATGTTAAATTAAAGCTTACAATAAGTACTATAAGTTAAAAAAAAAAAAATTTGTCCCGACACCTTTTGTAGTGAATCAAAAAGAGAATAATATTTGTAGTAACTTAATCTTCTATGTGCAAANACCTTTTGTAGTGAATCAAAAAGAGAATAATATTTGTAGTAACTTAATCTTCTATGTGCAAATGACCGTCAAAATTGAACAGAAATGTAAAAAATCGTATAAAAAATCAATGTTATTTTGGTGCTTAAAACTTCCATAACTTATTGATTAATAAACGAACCAAAGTATTTTTTTTTTATATTAAAACCTTATGCATTTCCCTTTTATTTGATATAATATTTTTGAAAATCTGATCTTTTACTTGCTCACAGAGGGTGGGTGATTCAAAATAGCAACTTTTTACAAAACTCAACTTTCAAAAATGTTCTGGAAACACTGCATTTTTAAAACATATGTCAAATTTAAGCTTATGTAATGTATTTTAAATTAAAAAAAAAAATTGTTTCGACGTCTTGTGCAAATAGCTATTGTAGTTACAAAATATGCTATTTTTGTGTTCAAATTTTATTTTTTTTTTGTTTATTTTAAAATACCTTATAAGGGTTTGCCATAGTAATGAGTTCCCCCATAAATATAAAATTTACATGAATCTAACTTACGTTAAATATAAATTTATACTTACTTTGATAATTTTATCTCTTTAAAGTTAAGAAAAAATTCTTTGAAAACTTGAAAATTTGTATAAAAAGTAGAATATTTTTAACTTAACTTTTGAAAATCTGCGTCTTTTAAATATATATTAAAATGAAGCTAATTTGATGTACTAGAAGTTCAAAAAAAAATAAATTTGTACTGATGACCTATTTTCTATGTACAAATGGCAGTTGAAGTAGAACAAAAAATAGGAGTTCATTTTGCTTTAGGAATAATCCATAAATTTCTTAAAATTAAACACTATCTACAGATTTGCATCGAAGCGTTTTTTATGATAGTGATTTTAATCACTGTTAAATATTATTTATACTTGTCCCACGACTACACTGTGCTACGGTTTTTGATATTCAACTTGAGTTAGGTAAATTCATTAACACTTTTTAATCCTAAAATTTGAATAGCTAAATAATTAAGTACGGTAGTTTTATATTAATTTCCAGATTCATTGTAATTCTTTTTTGTCAGATTTTATTAGGGGGGGGCATAGTTATATTTTTGCCCTCTTCGTATTTTGACCAAGGAGACATCTGCCCCCCTTTCCCCTGGTTCCGGCACCACTGCTGAACTGTAATTAATAAAATGTTTCTGGTAGTATACAATTTTGTAAATAATTTTCAAATTTCATACAATATATCACTAAGAATAAATTTTTGTTTAAGACTATGGCTGGAAGACATTGGCTTTTAGTGATTTTCCAAGTCATAAATTACATTTTAATATTAAAAGGCACGAAAATAATATCATCAGAGGATATATTCAGTAGTATGGCATTTGTGTTCGATACTACGGGTTCAATGTATGATGACTACAATCAGTTAAGATCTCATGCTGAAGATATAATGAGCTACGTTTTAAAAAGAAATGATTCTAATATTAGACATTTTGTGTTTGTTCCTTTTAACGACCCGGGTACTTATATAACAAATAACTGTTAAGTTCTTATTCAAATCATTTGAATTTATATTTAAATATTTATAATTTATAGTTGTAGGGCCTGTATCAGAAAGTTTTGTTCCTTCTGTAATTATGCATAAGATTAATAATATTGTTGTATCCGGAGGAGGTGACTGTCCAGAAAAAGGTGTAACAGGAGTAATTGAAGCATTGAAAGTCGTCAGACCTAATTCTTACATTTATGTATTTACCGATGCGTCAGTGAAAGACTTCGATAAAGTGCCCGAAGCATTAGATCTCATTCAAAGAAAACAAGTTCAAGTAATTAAATGTTTACCCAAAATAATTTAACTTGCATTATAATAGAAACGATTTTAAAAGTTTTACTCAAAGTTAATAAAGTTCTGGTTAACAATAATTACCAATTTACATTATGCATAAATTAATATTATAAATAATATAAATAAATATAAATAGCTGCATAATTTTCATTTATAATTTTTCATTGGACAGGTGATTGTTTTAAAAACGGGAGACAATTGTTTATCCGAGGATAGTAGTTACCATAGCATTGCGTCGATGGGATCGGGTAATGTATTTGATGTTCAAAAAAACGATGTTTCAAAAGTTTTAGATTTTGTTAAAATATCAATGGACACTAACCGCGTAAACATGCTGTCGGTAGATATACCAATTAGTCAATTAATACCATCACCACATAAACTCAATATTGATGACTCAGTAAAAAATTTAGTAGTTTCTGTGTCTGGTCAGACTCCAAACTTGGACGTAATAAATCCAGTGGGTAAAAAATTGGATGAATCTGATGGTTTAATGATTGATTTAGATTTGCCAAATGTTAAGATTGTTACAGTTATAGTAAGTATACAATTACGAGAAAAATAATAATTAATTTTTTAGTATTTCAAGTTGTTAATTTGAAAAATGTATTTATGTTTTTCAAATACACCAGCGCACACACAAAAAATAAAGTTGTCTGTACTTTTGACCGGACCCACCTGCCGACATGTATTTCGACCCGCTGATTCTGAATTGAAGTCCGTTTGGCCCGGTAACCCTCCAGATTTGAGTAAAATACAAAAAACCCAAAAAAGGCAAAAATTTGCGAAAAACTGCAGCCACAGCGATGAAAAAATTTTTGTGGACCCGGATCAAGAATGATTTTTATGTATATCAATTTACTGAACTTTAATTAGCACGTTGTGTCGTCAAAATTTGAAAAAATAGCGAAAAAACCAAAAAATTGCAATAAATCATGAAAAATCGAAAAAGATAAAAAAAATTGTTTGGATTCAGATGAGTATGATTTTTATGCACTGAATTTGAATCTCTCTCATCGTCTCGTTTATTCTTCCTGTAAAATTTGCATCCTGAAATAGAGTTCGAATTAGAGTCCATTAAAAATTCCTTATGATCTCTTGAACCTCCAACCAGGGCACCTCAACGTTGTGACGGTTGGCAACAGAGTCATCTGGTAGTCCCTGGATTAACGACGGTGTGCCGTCATGGCAGGTACAAGTGATTAGTATTTTACGATGCAGGGAACAGGAAACCCAGTATCGGCGTCTGATAAGGGTGAGAAAGCAGGCCTTGTCTTGTGAGAAACTCACCACAGACGTAACAAAATGAATCAGGACTTTTATTACAAAGATGAGAATTGCTTCTTGCAATGGTATACTCTCTAGTAGCTAAATTTCCCATTACTTAAGAGTTGCAGTCGCTTGATGACGACGCCTACGGGCTTACTTTTTCTGCTTTGTCAAGTCATTAAAAATCGTATTTAATAGATTTTTTCTTATATTTATAACTGAAATTTTCCCGATTTTTTTAAAATTTTAAAACGTTAATGGGTCAAGAAAACTTCTGATTCAAATTCAGTGGAACAAAATACATAAAAATCATATTCAATCTGAATCCAAACAATTTTTTTTATCTTTTTCGATTTTTCATGATTTATTGCAATTTTTTGGTTTTTTCGCTATTTTTTCAAATTTTGACGACACAACGTGCTAATTAAAGTTCAGTAAATTGATATACATAAAAATCATTCTTGATCCGGGTCCACAAAATTTTTTTTATCGCTGTGACTGTAGTTATTCGCAAATTTTTGCCTTTTTGGGGTTTTTTGTATTTTACTCAAATATGGAGGGTTACCGGGCCAAACGGACTTCAAATTCGGATTCAGCGGGTCGAAATACATGTTAGCAGGTGGGTCCGGTCAAAAGTACAGATAACTTTTTTTTTTGTGTGCCGGTGATATTGAAAAACCATATTAATTAGTTTTTGTAAATTCGAAATATGTGTTTACAATATATGTTATATTATAATATAATATTTGTTTCTAATAACCATATTATGGTTGATAAAACTAATTTTTTTAAAAAGTTTCAAATTTTCAATTATTATGTTATATATCGTTTTTAATAAATATTGTAATTAAAATTTCTTTATAATTCTATAAAATCAATTTATTTATCAATCTATTTATAAAATAAATGTTAATTTATAGAATTTGATGACGATTAAATAAAAGTATTTGATAACACTAATGATATGTAGACCTAAGCAAAAAAAAATTTCATAGTTGTTCTTAAATTAAGAATCTGCTTTAAATAAAATACATCACAATATTTTTATATAAAATAATTTAGAGTAAATATTTATGAAGTAGTTAATCCTGTTCATTCTTAAATAAATTATTTTAAATATTTCACATAAAATATACATATTATTATCAATACATAATTAAGTAATAATAAAATCATTAGGAACCAATGCCTGGTGAGTGGACAATTTTTGTGGCAAGTAAATCGGCACACGCAATTCGTGTTTGTGGAACAAGTACAAAAAATTTTGACTACGGATTTGCTATTACAAGGCCGGGTAGTATTACTCATACAAGTCATAGACCATTGAAAGGTAATTTAATTTGGTATCGCTATTAATAATTAGACATCTATATCATTGATAATTACAATAAAAATACTTCAATTCTACTCTTCATATTCAACTTATATTAAATTTAGTTAAATCTTACAAACACTAATTTTCATTTATTTTCTAGGTACTAACAATTACATATTAGTTAAATATGAGGATGTCCAGAAGTATTTATCTTGTGAGATTAAAGACTTACGCAGCGATGGAAAATTTGCAACACTTCCTATTTTTAACATCAGCAAAAATATGTTATTATGTGGTCCATTTATGCCAGGCAATAATCCTTTTTATGTTCAAGTGAATAAAAATTATAATAATGCTGTTAATATACTAAGAGAATATTTTATCGATAATCATAATATTTTAACAACGGATGAGCTATTAGGCTGATTTGTTTTTTAATAAAATTAAAATCTTGAGGGCAAAATTTAAATCTTATTATATAATAAAACATTAAAAAATTATCCAGTGCTGGATAATGTTAATATACTGGATAATAACAGTGAAGTTATTTAACAATGTCCTATTTTCAAAAATTATTTTTAAATTGAAATGGCTTGATGGCGTTATTTTGGGGAATTATTCACGAAGATGACGTATACGTGTCCGGGTACTCTTACCGGATTCAGTGGCCTCCCTGGACAGCCCTAAGGGCGTATAATGGCTTATACGGTGATATTGGTTTTCCTTTAATTTTTAAAATGCTTTATGTTACTAAATAAAAACATGGATTTATTTTTTATTCTTTTTAGAAAAATAACATAATTTAATATACAAATTATAGATTGTATTTATAGGTATAGTAAGTTTTTTAGTGTTAACTCACATTTTTTTCATGCATCGTATTTTAGTTTTCAATTGGGAAACATAATATAGTCGTATAGAATGTTATACTTGTAGAATTTTGAAATGTATAAAATATTTTAATAGGATTTTTTAAGTAGTCATAGCCTAATCTTGTCATTGGTTTTACTAAATAATTTAAAAAATCATATTTAAAATCAAGTGTCTCAAACTCTAAAAGTTTTAATCAAGATATTATATGCTTTTTTTTATAATTCAGATAATTTCTGTATTAAATAATTTCAATATATTTTATTTTTAAAATTAATTAATTAATTTTATATACGTTATTTTAATTTTTGAAAACATTCGTTTGATGACTCTTGATATTATAATTTAATGAGCATGACATAATAAATTTCGAATTGATATTGAAGGATTGTCAATATCACATTTCTTTATTTAAAAGTTGAATATTTTACTTAAATTTTGTTTTAGGTTTTTGGAAAAAATAATAATGGAAATTTTTTTAAACGAATAACAAAAACAAGTATAACACCAGATGATCCTGGTAAAATCTAAATTATTATGTAAATTTATAATTATAATGTAAGATAAAATTGAAATTGTTTTTTTTATTTTTGTCATTAGAAAAACCATATATAACTACTCCTAAAAGGGTTTTAGTTGTAGCAGGTGAAGAACTACGAATTATTTGCCGCATAGAATCTTTAGTTCCATTTAATGTAGCTTGGAATGTACTAAACGAACCTTCTCAATTTTGGAAATTTAAGTATGCAATACTAATTATATCATAGTTAATTGATTTTTAAACTAATTTTTTTTAATTGTAGCCAAAGTTCAGAAATAGAACTACTTGTATCTAATGTTACCTTAAACCATTCTGGTACTTACGATTGTAATGCAAATAATATCGCTGGTAGCTCAAATAGTTCAACTATCGTCGAAGTTGTGGGTAGTTATGCATGTTGTATTAATCAATCTAAGATATACAAATTGTTATGTATTTGATATATAATATTACATTGAATAAATTAAGAAATTAGGTTTAACTTATACCTAATTATACTTCTATTTAAATTAATTTTTATTAAAATTCTCTAGTTTTATAAAAAATGTTCGTTTTGATTATTTTTATAAGTAAATATTGATAAGCAGTAGTTGTAGTTGTTAATTAGTATTACACGTCATGAATGCTTCAATAGTTTTAATAAAATTATATTTGTTCGCTTTTAAATTAATAAAATTAAACCGTATAAGATTGACTTTTTTTATAATAAATTTAGTATTATAATTTTTATTATTTATCCATTTAGGCAGTTGTGCAAAAAAATTTAATCAAACAAAATATAATTTTTACTATGTTAAATTTATAGAGAGACCTATGATTGATGGAAGTTCTAACGATGAATCAATAGTTATATTTGAAGGTGAAGATTTTTCAACTGATTGCAAGGGGCATGGAATACCAGAACCATTTGTAGAATGGATTTTAAAAGGGACATATATACCGGCTCATAGTGGTATAGGATTTTTTTTATTATAAAAATTAGTCTTAATAATGAAATATTAAGAAAAATATATACTGTACATACAACTTTTTATAATATTAATTTCTAGATCATATTTTTGTCATAAATGGTACAAATAGATTAGTTATATATGACGCCACTTTTAACGAAAGTAATGATTACACTTGTCGAGTCTCCAACGAATATGGCATGTCTGAAAAACACTTCCGAGTTACAGTTCGTGGTTAGTAAAGATCATTGATTATTAATTTGAAATAATATTAGTAACAAGTAATTATTTCTTATTATAAAACTATAAATTGTTTGAAAATTATACTTAAAAAAAATATTGATGTCAGAAGGTTGATGATTTCGTGAATAGTTTTCCACTATTTTTGAATGAAAATAGAAAAAAATACAAATGTATAGCAATAACAATACTAAAATTTCACTACTTCTAATATATATGATTACATAAGTATAACTTATTCAATTACAGAGATACATATTACATTTTTTAATGTCCGATCGATAAATACGGAAGATGGTAATTTGTGCCATTTTATTACCTATAAAAAATATATTTTGCGCCCTATTTTAATTGTAATTAGCGTCATATTTTACATAGATATAAAAATAAATAAAATAATTTCAACTCTAATGGTATAATAATGTATTTGTTTAATTAAAAAAAAAAATTTTCATAAAAATATTATGTAAATATAAAATAAATTGAATATTAGTGAATTGGCCAGTATGATATTTTCGCTTAAAAAAACTAACTGAATTAAATAAAAGTTTTTATTGACTGAATTCTCAGATTATAATGAGTACATACGTGTTTATTAGGGTAGCCCTCAAAAATAGTTTGCGTAAGGATTTATAATGTTTCTTTCAAATAAATAAATAAAGTCTTGACGCAAAAATGACTATATTTAATATCGTCTTAAGTGTACAAACGACAACACGGGGTCGCGGTTAGTTTGATAAAAATTAATTAGACAAAAGAATCCTGAATTCTATATTGAATTTAGGGTTTCAAAAGAAGAAGTAGAAGTAATCTCTCTTAGAAAATCAGCTTTTTTTATATTATTTTTAATTACCTCCATCATAGGTTGCTGTCGTCAGCACTTTAAGTGATTTTCAGTTTATTGTATATATTTTAACATAACATGATAATTATTTTTAAGATAAAATGCATAGTATACAATAATTAATTTAGCTTGTATATACATATATAATAGCTAGTGTACAACAGTGTATATTAGGGTGGCCCTCAAAAATCGAATGTCTTTTTTTTTACGCTACCCCTTAATTTTTTTAATGGTCAAAAAAATGAGCTGTGCAAAATTTGGGACCGATCCGTTAAGGTTAACCCGTGCCCCCGGGCCTGTTAAGTTGAGTCGAAGAGTCAAATTTAATAGAAATAACTGATCTATGTCTCATAACTTTTTTTTTCTATTAACTTAGAATAATAAAAGTAAAACTCAAGTAAAGGAAATTTTACAAGAAATTTAAAAATAATAACTTCAATGTTGTTTTCTCAATAAATAGCCCACAAAAACACTACATACAGTAAAAAACATGTGAAAGTCTTAAAATACGTTATAACTGATTTTGTTGATTTTTAATTATTTATTTTCATTTTATTTTTTGGAAAACGCATATTCGTTTAAAAAAAGATTCTAGAAGTTTAATTTTTTATGCCAAGTACGATAATTATATTAGATTTATTATTTTATGGACAGTTAATTAATGATTAATTACAAATTTAACAAAATTGATTGTATTATTACATTTTGTCGTATCAATATATCAATTTTGGTTTACTGAATTACTTTAAGATAGTACCAATTATATTATTATTAAAGATAAG